AACAAAGAATTAATAAACGCTCAGGATGTCATTAACCTTATTTGATCGCACGTTCAAAACAAATAAATTTCGGAGTAGCCGTTTCCATGAAATTTTCGTGTTAACCAGATTTCCGAAAGCGCCGCGGTTCGGTTTAAATAAAACGGAATAATTTTTTTAATCCGGCATAACTGCCGTTTGTTTTACGTTTTAATTAACTCTGCTAACGTCGTTAATGAACACTTACGAAAAGTATTTGCTTGTACCATATATGAAGTCTCGTCACAAGTCCCGTAAACACTTAAAATATTATTATTTGTTAAGCGCTTAATTAAATTTCTTCTAATTAAAAATTTGATGTTTCACTTGAACTATATATTACGCAAATCAATCCTACAACTTCATTCGGCGACATTTCTGGTTGCCTACCCGGTTCCTTTAATTTTGCCATATTGTGCCCTGGATGTAGTTTTGGTTAGTCCACAAAACCTGAAATGATGTGGGTCTTAAAGTTATGTAGGTTTGTGGTGGATGCAAATTATGTCGAATTGTGTATGACAACAGAGAGAAATGGGTATTAAATATGTTTTATAAAAAATAATTGGGGTCTAGAAGCTAATCTCAGAAAAAAAATTAGGAAGGGTACTGTAGGCGCTGTCAATGTTTGACGTTTCGAATTTTGTTTAAAGATCTTTAGTCTCGCTGGGTTATATGCTCTCATATAAGTTAAACGACGTTCTAAAGTTGGACGATCGAGACTTGCTGAACGCTAAGGTAAATTTAGATGATTAAGTGAGAAAATGGCCGCGTTCCTAAGAGAAACAAGTTCTTATTTTACAATAATGGTCTCTATAATGAATTGATTTCACACGAAGTAGTGTTGGATACTATAAGGTTATTAATTATTTTGTAGAATGAATATTAAACCGCCACAGGAATAGAAATTTCACACGAAATGGCCGCTATGTAGCTATTTGTAAATTACCGAGCTATTTATTGGATTTAATTAATATTTGAATTTACATAGTACAATAGGGTCGTCCTACATCTGCAACATAATATACACAAATTTTGCAGCAGTTTAATTTTGCAATAATTCAAACGGCATTATGCTGGCGTTATGACTTTACACTTATCGAGATACCATATAAACAATATTTATAAACGCTGAAATTTGCTCTATAAAAAAAGAGTTTTAAAGCTTATGTGTGATAACTGGTTCTCAAAAATGTGTACGAACGCGAATAATTAGCCGGAACATTCTGTCGCTACTTTTGATTCATTAAATTGTAAAACGCTATTGAAAAAAATTGTACGAATTTTATTAAGTAATATAATAGTAAACACACCCTTTTTTTACTTCTTCTACAAATATATTGTTGCGGGGACACAACATTTAAAAAAAACACTTGAAGTTTTTCGATACTTCTTATTCCTATTAAATATCACCGTTACCGCGGGGTAAAAATATCTTATAAATTAAACATTATTATAATTTTACAGATTAAAACAATAATTAACCAACAATTCGAGTTGCGGAGAAGAATCTTTGAAAGTCTGAATTCTAAGCATCGCGTAACAAATCGATAATTATAGTAAATAAAATTAATCAAAGCTACGGAAGGGTATAATTCGATTCGTTTAGTTCTAATTGCCAATTGAACGAGTAATTTGTAATTGTAGGAGTCGTTCGATCTAATTTTATGAAATCGACTCACACCTGTTCGGAATTATTGTAATAACTGTTGCTGTGTTATTGTGGGGCTATGCCGAGCGTATAAAACACTATTTGCTAGACCGATTTGCCCCGTTTAACATTACGAATTTGTTTTGTAAACGGTGAAAATAAATGAATTTTAATGGGAACGTTTCACGACGCTCAGCATTATGAGAACCGCGTATTGATGGTTTTGCATTCCATTGACTTTAGTGAAAGTGAAAATGAAACTTCGATTACTTGGATCACGTGTTATGGGGTTCCCTAAGGATCCCACCGGGGGAAACTACTTTTTGTTATTTATATCAATAAAATTGGTGTTTTTTTTTGCGGGCGTCTATTTTTATTACAAGATATATACCTAAGATATATACCTAAAGCTGATGACTTACAATTAGACCTAGACTTCCTATTGTTTACGAATTTTAATAATGAAAATGTTTATTCGGATCTGCAGGCGTAGTACTAAGACCACTATTAAAATCAATACTAATTCGAAAGAAATTTGTCGTGTGATTGGTGATAGGTATAGGGAAAGACATCGTCAAATCAATGTACACTTAATGTAGCAATAATGTGCAATGTACAATTATGTTTTTTTTTTTGGGTAAATTTTGGATAATCGGTAAGCAAGCAATCAATTGCCAATATCAATTTCAAAAGGACGATTTTGGTGTTTATCATGCGGACCATCTTTCAACATTTTTAAAATAAGATATCTAAACACATGCTAGCATTACCTGAAAAGAAACCAAAAATTATTTTCATTGCAGGGTTGTACGCCCTTTCATACATATCTAAACTTTTGTATTTCAAAAGTTTAGGTAAAATAAATTCTTACGGAGATATAAAAGAATTCCGCAGTAGTGAGCTGCCCTGTATATATCTATAGCGTATGTTCATGGACGTCTGAAATTTAATGTTAAGTAGGTACCTAATTGATATATCTGGCTTGGCTATGTGAATCATGTCTAAATTGGTTTTCACTTTGACTTTTAAGTGTATTTGAATGTTTTTATATTGGGCTCCTTTTATATGGACAAATAAATAAAATGTGATAGTTATACCAACAATTTTGTTAATGCACTTCGACTGAAACGCATTCGTAAATTTTCTGTTGGCACGTAAGCAGCATCGATATTTATAATCCTTTGGGCGTAATTAAATTGTTTACGATAAACAATAACAAACAGGTTGCGGCAGCGGCGTTTTAAGCTGTAAAATTAAGCAATATGTGTTGAATACGATAAAAGTAACATCGAATAAAATGAAATTCGAAATTTAAAAATAAAAAGAGTCAGAAAACGTGGCTGTTCTGTACTCACTGGCCTATAAAATATCAAAAACACACTAGATTATGAGGCGGAGTTTGTAAGATAAGCGTGATTTATCTAGAACATTTTAAAGCCAAAGGGCTTTACTGTAAATGCGAGTATATTGAAAAACGGTGCAAAAATTCTCCACCTTTCGCCTTAAGAAGTAAAACGTGTCGAAAAATTACCAGGTTCCCCATATCATTAACATGTTAGCGTATTCATGAATTTCTTCTAAACTTTCGGATCGAATGGGTATTTTGCAAACCCTGTCTTTGGTATCGAGTTTTTCGTTTGAATATTATGCAACTTCTCTACCCTCAAATATATCCGCCCTCCAGAGTCAACCGTTAAAATATTCCAAGGAAATAAACTATTCTCGTAACCTTTAATTGCAGTCTTGGATGGACGCGACAAATGTTGAGATAAAACTTACTTGGGACAATTGCAGTTACTAACAGTAAAACTCCATATTGTTTAATTAAAACCACCAAACTAAACGGCAAACGATTTACCTAGTGCCCAAACTGCTGATAAATCGCAAGATATTTACATCTCGCACGTATACAGGGTAGTAAATAAACCAAAAGCCATAATTTATTTTTATTATATCGGCTCTGTGGGTCACACAACGTTTTTGTTTCTGCAAAGAATGGGGTCAATCGAAAATTTCAGCGTCGTTCTGCAAGTGACGAGGCCCAGTCTTTTTAATTTAAACTTTTATATTTATATACGCCACTGGGGACTGGCATGTATTACGATATCGTCCAACCGAATCGTTAAAGATCTGGCCGGTTGCCCGATATTTTGCATGATTCGCGCGTTAGTCAGTTCCGTCGGCCAATAAACTGATTGCCCGTAATTATTATTCCAACCTATAAAAATCTTTCTGACAAATTTTGTCCGTGTTTACTTTTTTATATATAAATCTCGAATAATTATACATTACATACATATTAATTTAGGTACAATTTATATTTTTGACGTAATCCATTATTTAGTTGCTTTAACAGATATTTTTTAGTTGTATCTAATTTGAGAGGTGAACCACATCATAACACTAATGCCAAATGGAATGCATTTTATTTTCTGCTCATTACTTTTAAGCTCAAGATCTAAAATAAATAAATCAACTTTGTCTAGCTGATAAAGCAAAAAAACAAAAGAAAATTAAGCAGGCATTACGAGGTTAACTGATAACAGTCCCGAGGAGGTCTCTTACAACGGTGAAGCAGATGATCGAGACAAACAGTTCTTCACTACGTGGAAGAATTTGAATAAATGACTCGAGAAAGAAAATTAACTTTTATTTCCTTCGGAATTTACCATGTGCAAATCCTACGTTGACTTTATGGCATATACGCAGGGTCTTTGCCAGTGACGGAGCACTCTTTTTTAATTATAATAAAAACTTTAATATTCGTGCATCTAATGAGGATACTTCGGCACATATGAAATGCTTATTAGGCAATGGAACAATTTAAGTATGCCACATTTTGGTGTAAAGTGTAACATCAAAAAGGGATCCATAATTTTACAGTTTAAAAACAAAAAGAAACAAAACTGTCTTTGATATACTAGCTATATAGATTTTTTGGATTCTATAGCGGTTTGCGAGGTGTTATTTTTTTGTCACAGTTTGATGTTTAGATTTAGATTAATTTGACGATTTAATTTTAACTTTAATTAGTTCCAAAGCAATCAACAAACCAAAATTATTAATATTTATAATAAGAACGTTATTAATAATTACTTTTTAATCCTTGTTATTATTTAGTAGCAATTTTTCCCTTCACAAGCAATTTTTTTTGTAAGAGTAAAAAATAATAAAAATAAAAAAATAATTTTAACTATATAATAAAATTCCTGCTTCGAAAGCAGCGTCCTTGTCAAACAACTTTTGGTATAAAGTACCCACATCTGCCTGATTTTCTTCTAATTTATGAATTAATTGCCAATTATGAATTAATTTCCATTTTTATTATTTGCAGACGTTCACGGCATGGTGTAACAGTCATCTGCGGAAGGCCGGTACCGGGATCGAAAACATCGAAGAGGACTTCCGCAACGGTCTCAAACTCATGCTTCTGCTGGAAGTGATATCCGGCGAAACGCTACCGAAACCGGATCGCGGCAAAATGCGTTTCCACAAGATCGCCAACGTCAACAAGGCGCTCGATTTCATCGCCAGCAAGGGTGTCAAATTGGTGTCGATCGGTGCCGAAGGTAAATCGCGAAAAACGTATTAATCGTATGGACACTCAACTGCCATTTTCTAGATTTTCGAGTTATATATATAAATATATAATATATATATATATATATATATATATATATATATATATATATATATATATATATATATATATATATATATATATATATATATATATATATATATATATATATATATATATATATATATATATATATATATATATATATATATATAATGTGATGACACTATACTCCGGGATATCATCCGTTCGCTCGTTGAACTCCGACTGGAATCCTGCAAATCCTGCATCCGACTGGAATCCTGCAGACGTTTCGCCAAAATCTCACTTGGCATCTTCAATGCTCGCGCTCCGAAAACAGTGTTCGAAGTGTTTTCGGAGCGCGAGCATTGAAGATGCCAAGTGAGATTTTGGCGAAACGTCTGCAGGATTCCAGTCGGATGCAGGATTCCAGTCGGAGTTCAACGAGCGAACGGATGATATCCCGGAGTATAGTGTCATCATATATATATATATATATATATATATATATATATATATATATATATATATATATATATATATATATATATATATATATATATATATATATATATATATATATATATATATATATATATATATATATATATATATATATATATATATATATATATATATATATATATATATATATATATATATATATATATATATATATATATATATATATATATATATGTATATATATATAGTGTGTCCAAGATAAGGATGCACAGCATGGGGATCTCGGAAACTATAAGAGATACAGTGTCGGTTAAATTAGACAAAAGTTGCGCATTTTGATACCGAACAAGATCCCGTTTTACAAATTTGAAAATTCCAAGCCGTTCCGGAAATATCCGAGAAAAACCGAAATATTGCGATTTCGTTTTTATTATTTTTTAAAGCTATTTGAAAAGATATGAAAAAACGGAAAACACTTTTCCATTGGCACTTTTTAATCTCTCCAAATTGACGTTAACAAATTTTCATTACAGCGTTTCGATTCCATGGAACCACCATCAACTTTGATTTTTCTTATGGGACGGAAAAAAAGTACACACAGTATTAGGTTGTGCTTTTCATTGCGAATTCAACGATGTACGATACAATACGGTTACTTATGTTTTTATCCAGAAAAATGGCTTTTTAATACATTTCTAGTATTTTATTGTAGTAGGCCATGAGATCCGAACGATGAAAGGTAAAAGAAAATGGTTGACAAGTTCGAGTTAATGTGTTTATTTATTTACTAACTCTAACTGTTCATTTAACATAAGAACTAAATCCAACAAGTTAATGAAAAACAAATTCTATAACAAATGTTCGAATAAATGACCTCCATTTTCTAGGCATAAGTACGCCCGTCTCACGGTAGACTCCAAAACACGACTTAACATTTCAGGAGTAATTTTATTAAACGCTGCTCGTACTGATTGCCGTAATTGTTCCTCGTTGTCAAAACATTCTTTGAATACCTCATTTTTTATGTAGCCCCATAAGAAAAAGTCCAAGGGAGTTAAGTCCGGGGACCTTGGAGGCCAAGGTGTTTCACTGTAAGTCCCAATGTATTTTCCATCAAACCGTTCAGTTAAATATTGGCGAACTTCTCTGGAGTTATGGGCTGGGGCACCATCTTGTTGGAACCAGCAGCCTTGCACAGCGCCTAGCGGTAAATCATCTAAGGCATCTTCTAAATCGTGCCTCAAGATGTCAAGGTACCGCTCGGAAGTTAAGGAATTATTATAGAAAATAGGGCCTATAATCTTGCTACCAAAAATCCCACACCAAATATTAAACCCAAAGCGAACTTGATGTCTGGATAGTCTATTAACACGTGGATTTTGTTGCGACCAATAGTGTGTATTGCGCCTGTTATAAATACCGTTATTGGTCACCATACTTTCATCAGACCAAATCACTTTATATGGAAAATTAAAACTCTCATCACGCATCCTGGTATACCACTCACAAAAATGTCTACGTCGTTCGTCGTCACCCGGTTTTAATCCTTGACATATTCTGAATTTGTAAGGCTTAAATTCATTTTTCCTTAAAATAAACTGAGCTGTAGATTTAGCTACTCCATTCTGGTCTTCAATTTCTCTGGTAGAAGTTTGTGGATTTTCGATAACAGATTGTAGAACAATGTATTGGTTTTCTTCATTGGAAGGTTTTTGTCGGGATAATGCAGGCTTCTTAAATGATCCATATTCTTTCAGATTAAATAACAAACGCCGAAAAATACTCTTGTCAGGTTGTCTCCGCTCTGGGTATTTGTTAGAATACATACGCTCGGCTTCCACACAATTTCTTTGGCATCAGATGTAGCAAGACAGCATATCACATTTTTCTTCGTTTGTAAAATTACCTCCCTCCATTGTAGAACAAAATAAATTAGAAAAAGACAACAACAATAAAAATACAAAAACAATAACTAAAGGAATAAACTTATGATCGACTGATAACAAAGACAAATAACATTAATGTGTCATTGAAATTGACTGGATGTCATTTTGTCATGGCCTACTCCATTTAAATGCTGAAATGTATTAAAAATCCATTTTTCTGGATAAAAACATAAGTAACCGTATTGTATCGTACATCGTTGAATTCGCAATGAAAAGCACAACCTAATACTGTGTGTACTTTTTTTCCGTCCCATAAGAAAAATCAAAGTTGATCTTGGTTCCATGGAATCGAAACGCTGTAATGAAAATTTGTTAACGTCAATTTGGAGAGATTAAAAAGTGCCAATGGAAAAGTGTTTTCCGTTTTTTCATATCTTTTCAAATAGCTTTAAAAAATAATAAAAACGAAATCGCAATATTTCGGTTTTTCTCGGATATTTCCGGAACGGCTTGGAATTTTCAAATTTGTAAAACGGGATCTTGTTCGGTATCAAAATGCGCAACTTTTGTCTAATTTAACCGACACTGTATCTCTTATAGTTTCCGAGATCCCCATGCTGTGCATCCTTATCTTGGACACACTGTATATATATATATATATATATATATATATATATATATATATATATATATATATATATATATATATATATATATATATATATATATATATATATATATATATATATATATATATATATATATATATATATATATATATATATATATATATATATATATATATATATATATATATATATATATATATATATATAAAGGTATAAACATATCCTAAAATGTCTTGTTTTAAAGTCCCAATATCACACACCCATCTAACTTTTTTAAATAGATATTTTTTAGACTAACCTACTAAAACCAAAATTTGTGTCTCAGCCTTTTCTTTTATACTGCTGTATTTTTTTACAAAAAAATGAAAACCCGAATTTAAAAAGAGAACATGTTTTTATAAGAACTGTTCTACTTAAAATTGGCCCACGAATATGCTCTTAAATTTACTATCTGCTATATTCTATATGTGAAATTCCAATATGTGAAAAATAAAAGAATTATTATAAATAAAAAAAAAAAGAAAAGCATCTTTCCAAATGTTAATATAAGGTTCGAATGCAAAAATTTGACGCCGTTCAGTTTTATTTGATATCTGAAGAAAACTAATTTTTATTCTTTATTATATTACTTTTACAATTTTGCAACATTTTTAAATATTCTAAACAGAAATCGTCGATGGCAACTTGAAGATGACCCTCGGTATGATCTGGACTATCATTCTACGTTTCGCCATCCAAGACATCTCTGTAGAAGAAATGACCGCGAAAGAGGGTCTCTTGCTCTGGTGTCAACGTAAAACCGCTCCATACAAGAACGTCAACGTACAGAACTTCCATTTGTCATTCAAGGTAACGTGAAAATTCGAAAAAAATATTTTCTGCGTAATCATAACCTTCGAACTACTTTGACAGGTGGCTTGGGCAGGATTTTTAAAACATGTCGAATTATTTTATTGCAGGATGGTTTAGCATTCTGCGCCCTAATCCATAGACATCGTCCCGACCTCATAGACTACAGCAAACTGAGCAAAGACAATCCCCTGGAAAATCTGAACACAGCATTCGATGTAGCCGAGAAGTACCTCGACATTCCAAGGATGTTAGATCCTGACGGTAAGTTGTTATATTTTTACGCGGTCATATAACATTTTACCATTTTTTCGTCTATCTACATTTTGTCGGGTCGGACATTTTTACAGATTTAATCAATACGCCCAAGCCCGACGAGCGTGCTATCATGACTTACGTGTCATGTTACTACCATGCTTTCCAGGGGGCGCAACAGGTAGCATTTTATACGAAACGTGTCGAAATGAAATTAACCCGTCAAGTGTTTTTAATAACAACACATTCGCCCCAGTTTGTTTTCGTCGCTAATGACATTTATTACCACATCCCATTCAATCGAAGCTCAAAAATTTCCGAAATAATTGTTTTGTGAATCATATTTTTGAGTTTTGTTGCAGCTAAAGTTTGTTTTTGCGTTTTTGTTGTTTTTTATTTGGCACCACTTAACCACGATTGATTTTTACTTTGCTTAAGATTATTTATCGGGTATCTGTTGCCAAACTCTCTTTATCACTTATCTAAAGATGAAATGGACACGCGCACTTGCTCCATTTTCCCTAAACATTTAACGTGATCTGGGCATATTTTGAGAAAACACTGCCATGAAAATGCCATATCCAAACTGAAATTACTGAATTACCGAACTGTTAGGGGCCACGTTGGTTGTCGAATTCCGTTAGCTTTTATTGTTTGAAAGTGAGGTTTGAAATGACAGATCTTATTGGCTATTTGAAATGAGCGAGCATGCGTATCTTGCACGAACGGTTCTTCAACAGTTCTTGTATATCAGCAAGGGTAGTGTATCTGATAGCTATGTGGCCTTAGCACCAGCAGCTGTCTTACTAAATATTGAAGAAATGATTAATTTTCTACCTTTTTTCAAATTTGTCGTGGCAGATCTCTTTTTCTAAAATTTAAATTACAGTTTGTATTTATTTTTTATAAGAACGTAAATAGAATGTTTTAAAAGCTCAAATTCGTAAATAAAGATTAAAGTTAATTTGCTATGGTCAATCAGAACATTTCTTGTTATTGTAGATGCGATTGTCGGTAAACTTATCGTACTAATAAGTTTATCAGAAAATCTATCGTCGAAAAAGGAACTTTTGGATTTTCTTCGATGTGACATTTTAACTTGCTGTTGTGTTTGCATGCAGACTTACAGAACACGGCTATGCCAGACGAACGGGCTGTGATGACGTACGTCTCGTCTTACTACCACTGTTTCTCTGGCGCCCAAAAGGTGATTTTTATGCTCTTCCTTAACATATTAACGAACGCAGTATCTTAGTGATTAAGTGTGGATATTTTGTTTCTTTTGATTAGTTCTAAGGTCTCACTGAAGAGGCCACTAATGAAAGCGAGAGTTAGTTGTTTTTATATAAAATAAAAACAAAAAAAGGTTTGGTAATTTTTAACGTGCTTTACGCGCCCATCTATAGGCTGAGACGGCGGCGAACAGAATCTGCAAAGTTCTGAAGGTGAATCAGGAAAACGAACGCTTGATGGAAGAATATGAACGGCTGGCAAGTGACGTACGTATTGTTCGTTAAACGTTTATTGGATGTTAATTAAAGAAACTCTCCAGCTGTTGGAATGGATCAGAAGAACGATGCCTTGGTTAGCGTCGCGCCAAACCGACAATTCTCTCGCCGGCGTCTCTAAGAAACTGGAAGAGTACCGCACCTATAGGCGCAAACACAAGCCGCCACGCGTGGAGCAAAAAGCAAAACTCGAGACCAACTTCAACACCCTGCAAACGAAACTGAGGTTGTCGAACAGGCCCGCCTATATGCCGACCGAAGGCAAGATGGTGTCAGACATCGCTAACGCGTGGAAGGGCCTGGAAGGTGCTGAGAAGGCGTTTGAAGAATGGTTGCTTTCCGAGATGATGCGCCTGGAGCGTCTCGAACACTTAGCGAAGAAGTTCAAGAACAAGGCGGACGCGCACGAAGACTGGACCAGGGGCAAAGAGGAGATGCTGCAGAGTCAAGACTTCAGAAACTGCAGGTTGAACGAACTGAAAGCGCTGAAGAAGAAACACGAGGCGTTCGAGAGCGACCTTGCCGCCCACCAAGACAGAGTGGAACAAATCGCCGCCATTGCTCAAGAACTGAAGTGGGGGACAACCTAGTTTCCTTTTAGGTCATTTTCATCATGCACATAATACATTTCAGCACATTGGAGTACCACGACAGCGTGAGCGTAAACGCTCGCTGTCAGCGTATCTGCGATCAGTGGGACCGCTTGGGCGCGTTGACTCAGAGACGTCGCCAAGCCCTGGATGACGCCGAACGTATCATGGAGAAGATCGACATTCTCCACTTGGAGTTCGCGAAGCGCGCCGCTCCGTTCAATAACTGGTTGGACGGTACAAGAGAGGACCTGGTGGACATCTTCATCGTGCATACGGTGGAAGAGATCCAAGGCTTGATCGATGCCCATTCTCACTTCAAGGTAAACGGTAGCAAAATAACTTGGGAAGATATAATTGAGGATCGTAGGCGACCCTCGGCGAAGCCGACAAGGAATACCAGAGCATCGTGGGACTGGTCAGAGAAGTCGAGGCTATCGTTAAGCAGCACCAAATACCCGGCGGCCTTGAAAATCCCTACACCACACTTACCGCCCACGTAAGTTTTTCCGTCGATCCGTTAAGACGCAGTTTTGGCGCGAAAGCACTGTTTCAAATGGGGGAGGGAGAGGGGTCGTTGTCACAAATCATCATCGCCAGCACAAAATTTTAGAGTTAAAAGTTAAGAAACTAACGAAAAAAAAATGTTTCATTGCTGTCGTGGTGCCTAATAAGGAAGGATTTGTTGGTGATTTGGAGGTAAAATTGTCAGTGTTCACCTAGCCGGCGTAAAATGCCCGAATACCGAAAGTGTTCGTCATGTTTTGCAGGATTTGACTAGAAAATGGGGCGAGGTTAGGACTTTGGTGCCGCAGAGGGACGCGACCTTGCAAGCCGAACTGAGAAAGCAACAAAGTATCCTTTTGATTCTGACGGATTTGCGTCGTCTACGTGATTTTCGTATATTGTGTGTCCTTAACGTGCGCTAGATAACGAAATGTTGCGCAGACAGTTCGCGGAAAAGGCGAACGCCGTCGGGCCGTGGATCGAACGTCAACTGGATGCCGTCACAGCCATTGGAATGGGCCTGCACGGCACCCTCGAGGATCAGTTGCACAGGCTCAAGGAATATGAACAGGGCGTGTACGCCTACAAACCTCACATCGAAGAGTTGGAGAAGATTCATCAAGCCGTACAGGAGAGCATGATATTCGAGAATAGGTGAGCGGTTAATGGATTTTTAGTAAATAATACAATCCGAGCAGGCAAGAATTTGCAATCGCTCATCATTCAAACTATTTGTCATTGTCTACTTAAATGTTGCAATAGAGTTCTTCTTTTTTCTTCGTTTTTTTCAGTCGAAACATGCATAGCGGCCCTGGCCGATTTTTAATGCGTTGTATTGTATTGTATAAGGTTGTTCGGAAAGTCATTTCGTTTTTTCCCGTCAGAGGACTTAATTACGTTTTTTCGAAACCAACTTCACACTTAAGCCGCATAACCATTATACGTCTTGAGAGCTGATATTGCAAGGCTTGTGTGTGAAAAAGTCCTATTAATTCTACGCAGTAGTTTTTGGTTGGTGCCCTTTTAAATATGGAGAGCAATAAGCAGCATTTTCGTCATATTATACTTTTTTAACTTCAGAAAAGGTAAAAATGCTGTCCAAGCGAGAAAAAAATTGACGGATGTGTATGGAGAAGGCGTGTTAACAGTACGCCGGTGCCAGAACTGGTTTGCAAAATTTCGCGAAATTTGTGTCGTCGCGTTGACGTGTGTGATTCGCTCCTCAAACGTCAAGAAAATGATCCATTTTTGAAACGGATTATTACTGGGGACGAAAAATGGGTTGTATACAACAATGTTAAACGCAAGAGGTCATGGAGCCGAAAAGATGAACCGGCTCAAAGCTTGTCAAAAGCCAACATTCACCAAAAAAAGGTGATGCTCTCCGTTTGGTGGGATGTCAAAGGAATCGTTTTTTTGAACTTTTGCCGGACAATACAACGATTAATTCAAAAGTCTATTGCCATCAACTGGACAAATTGAATGATTCACTTAAAGAGAAGAGGCCCGAATTAATCAACAGGAAGGGTGTAGTGTTCCACCAGGATAATGCGAGACCTCACACAAGTTTGGTCACTCGCCAAAAACTTTTACAGCTTGAATGGGACGTACTGCAACATCAACCATATTCTCCAGATCTGGCGCCTTCCGACTACTATTTGTTCCGGTCCCTGTAAAATTTTTTGGATGGCAAAACCTTTACCTCAAATGAAGATGTCAAAAACCACCTGAACCAGTTTTTTGCCAGCAAGGACCAAAACTTTTATGAGAGGGGAATTATGTTACTGCCAGAAAGATGGCAAAAGGTGTTGAACCAGAATGGTCAATATATAATTTAATAAAATATTTATTCATTATACGAAAACTGTCTTTCACGTTCCCCAAAAAAAAAACGAAATGACTTTTCGAACAACCCAATACTTTTAGATCAATAAAGATACAGGTTCGGTTAAACGGGCTTAAAGTTCTGTATAGTTGCGCAGTGCCATGAAGTTACCAAAACTAAATTGACAGGAGTGGACTAAGAAATATTTCAGTAAAGCTTTCTGGTACATTTATTTCCAATTTTAGGAAAAAGTTCCAATATTGACCTCCTGATTGAAAGATCAAAATGACAAATTATTTTCTTTTCTTCTAACATTTTTACAATTTTGCATTACACAAGTCTATTGCATATTTTCTCTCTTCCGTAATATTTTTAGGTTTTTCATTGTAAATTGATTTAATCCGAATTACTCGCGCGCCTATTGACTTCTAACATTGTTGCGATGCCACTGATATTTCTTGTTGTTTGCTTATTCTTATTTTTTACTAACAAGTGATTTTTTTTTCCATCGCTTCCCCTGCCGTGACACAGTGAGGAAGAAAGGTAATTTTTTTTTCTTGCTAATATTTAAATAACGCCGCCAATAAGTAATGGGATTTCGATTGAACTTTTTTTGGTTTTTAATTCGACTTCCCACCCGAATAGAAATAAAATTCAATTTCAATTTTAACGACAACTCATAGGTACACTCAGTACACTATGGAAACACTGCGCGTGGGATGGGAACAGTTGCTCACTTCCATTAATCGTAACATCAACGAAGTGGAAAATCAAATCCTTACGCGCGACTCCAAGGGCATCACCCAGGAACAGCTCAACGAATTTAGATCTTCGTTCAATCATTTCGACAAAAACCGAACCGGTAAGTAACGGACGACGACATTCCATGCCGGTGGTGGGTTGGAATCGTTTTTTTTTTTTTTTTTTTTTCCAGGCCGTCTCACCCCCGAAGAGTTCAAGTCTTGTCTGGTATCACTCGGATATTCGATCGGCAAAGACAGACAGGGCGAGATAGATTTCCAGAGAATTTTGGCAGTAGTCGATCCCAACAATACGGGCTACGTGCACTTCGACGCGTTCCTGGACTTTATGACTCGCGAGAGTACCGACACCGATACCGCCGAGCAAGTGATCGACAGCTTCCGCATCTTAGCCGGAGATAAGGTAAGTTGTCGGAAATGGTTTTTCCCAAATAAATATGATTTGATTAGTTTCGGTTTTGACAGAAAGACGTTTATATTCTATATGTCCAAAAGGTACTGTAAAACATAGTGGTCTGAGCCATATTCAGTGGGTACATCATTGTGTAACATGTTTATCATTATTATTATTATATTTATTGTTTATATTATTATTATTATTATTACATTTCCAATAATTGAAAAAAAAATATATATATATCATTAAACTTAAAAAAAAATGAAAATATTTAGTTAGTAAAAAGTTTTGTAAGTTGCCTATCCATCTCCAATCGATATGAGTAGTTTAAGTTTTCTAGCGGTCAACAGGTGGCGCTCGCGTAATATTGATTCAGTTCTGATCGGTTGGTCTTAAAATTATTAGTAAAAGTGTTTAAAGTTTTCAATAATAAAATTAAATCTTCAGTGCGATTCCAAATTGCATCTAAAAATCTCACTTACAGGTATTTGTTTACAAAAATATTGGAAAATAATGCCAAAATTTCACAATAAAAACGAGATCTTAATTTAAGTACATTTAGCCTCATAATTTTGGTTCAAAATTAATAATTTAAATAATTGGACAATATTTCTTCCTTTGTAGCTAGGTCCTTAACTTTTGGACTTGGTTTGGGTTTCTTCCGTTTTTCTGTTCATAAAGATATAATTTGTGCGTTGGATACGCATATATTAATGTTTCCCACCATTTTCTTTATTGTCTTCGCCTCCACTTCAACATGGAAGCGGACATCGTCAGTTTAACTCGCTTTTTTTCAGCCATACATCCTACCAGATGAACTAAGACGCGAATTGCCACCGGACCAGGCCGAATATTGCATCCAACGTATGCCCCCTTATAAGGGGCCCGGATCTGTGCCCGGCGCATTGGATTATATGTCCTTCTCGACCGCCCTTTACGGAGAGTCCGACTTGTAGACACCGAAAGGTCAAAGACACCCGTTCTTATAACTGTGAGGTGATATTTTCTTAGCCATAATAGGGTTAAAGTTTACAAATCGAATCATATCTCATATTGCCTTTGTCATTTTTACCCAATCCCTTTAATTTCCGATCCGAGACAAAAGTTGTTATAACCTAATGGAGAAAAAATATTCACTGAATTCGACAACTCGCCTGCACGTGGCGGGTTGAATTATTTTGAAGCGTCCCATTGGCATTTCAAAATGCGTTGGCAAATTCTTCGTACCATGCACCGGTACATGAAAAGGACCATTTACGCCCTACTTAGAGTTATAATGCGAATTTGGTGTAGTGTGCTACATACCGGTACCTAGTGTGAAGGATCTTGTACAAAACCATCCTCCATTTTTTTGTATATTTGAAGTTTGCTTGATATTAATATAATTTTCAGTTTGTTGTATCTCCTTCCCAGCAGCATATAAGAGTTAATTTATTTATTTTAAGTTCGCTTTTCTTCCTACCCCGATTTGTACAGTTTTTTTTTTAGTTTATATGGTTTTGCTGCGAAGGCTCGTTATGTACAAAACGTTCTCCGCAGGATGTTGTAGTTTTTTTTTTTCCTGTATTTCGATATTGTGAGAGTAGGTCAAACATTTTCGCTGTAACTACGAAAACACACAAATCCCTATTTATTATTTTCTTTTTTTTTTAAATTGTGGTTTATTTTTGAAATCTTTATTTATAGCTTATTTTCGTGGCAGTTATTTTATTTTGTAGTGCCTATATGTTGAGAATTTATTTATATTATGTATTTAAGTGACAGCTATAAAATATACATATATTATGTAACTGAATGTTTGTTTTATTCATTTACTTATGTTTTAGGGCTTCCCTAGTGACCGTGTAGAAACTCTTGTGGAAACCCTTGTATAGCAAGTTTTATCAATATTGCACTTGGACCAAAATTGAATTATTACAATAAACGGGTATATTACTTAATCAACATAAATAAAAAATAAAAGTTATTAACGTTATTCCTATTAAAAAACGGTGTAAATATTTGCAACAACTAATTACGTTAATTATAATCTGGGATGCGAGCCTTTTCATGCCGATATTTTAACGTTTCACAAAATTTTGAACGGTATATATAACTGTCCAGCTGCCCTTCAGTCCATTGGTTTTAACATCTATGAAAGACTCTCCAATTTCTCCATTTAATTACACCAACTACGGCTATTTTTCTCCTTCAACTCGAACTTTGAGATTATGTAACATCTGCTGTCTTGATCCGTTTGCTAGCGATGATTTAAGACAAAATTAGAAGTGATTGATTACTAGTAAATAGTGTCATACTATTTTTCTACTATCTTTTTTTTATTATTTTAATATGATTATTTATAAAACGGTTTTTTCCTAAGTTGGTGTTTTATTATGTTGCTATTTTTGATTATATTTATGTTGTTTCATTTTTTTTGTAAATTGACTTAGCCGTTGAAATAAATAAATAAAAGAAATTGCAATTACTTTTTTTCTCCAACTTGAAACTTGCAAATCAATTCGTGTAACTAATTATTATGTATTTAACATTACACTAGACACTTCGATAATGGCGCGAATCTCTAACTAACCTTAAAACAAAAAACCTGCCATAGAACAATGTTTAGAAAAGTACACTACACCACACTAATATTTACAGACTCACCATTTTCAAAGAACTTGCAGAACATTGTGGTAAGTTTCAACGCGTTCCTTATCCAGATTCACCACAGGCCCTAAATCTAAATTAGAACTCACGAAACAAATATTTTGTGAAATTTAACTATTCCTATTGCAATCCTTTCTGTAATCTGTGAACAGATGGGTTAGTTTTTATATACTCCCTAGTTGAAAATACTAAATTATGAAGCAACGCGAGCTTTGTTGCCAAAATCGCGCCCCACTTCGGACGTTTCGGGTACTTTGGTCACGCAATAAATAAAACACTGATTAAAGTATGCAATTATCTAAAAAATAAAATATTATATGAAAATGAAAGATTTATAAATAGTTATATTACTTTTTATTAGGATAATATGTTTGCTTCTCAATTTTTTTTTCGAATTTTCCTCGGAATTTCGTTGTTCTGTGTCCCTCTTAAATGTCCTAAAAATATCATTAAATTTCCCAAAAGATTCTTCGTCCAAGCTGCGAGCAAAGCTATTCATTTCTTCCAAAATGACCTGTAACAAAAATCGAAAATTAAACGCGTAATAATTGTAGGCTTAATTCTTTCGAACCTGACGCCTATCTTGAAATGCAATAGTGTCTACGTGGAGATCGGGCTTCGTTTCCCGAATAAAATGGGTAACATCATATGCACTTATTTTTGCGACGATAGTCTAATGTTATGTATTTAACATTACACTAGACACTAAACACTTCGATAATGGTGCGAATCTCTAACTAACCTTAAAACAAAAAACCTGCCATAGAACAATGTTTAGAAAAGTACACTACACCACACTAATATTTACAGACTCACCATTTTCAAAGAACTTACAGAACATTGTGGTAAGTTTCAACGCGTTCCTTATTCAGATTCACCACAGGCCCTAAATCTAAATTAGAACTCACAAAACAAATATTTTGTGAAATATAACTATTCTTATTGCAATCCTTTCTGTAATCTGTGAACAGATGGGTTAGTTTTTATATACTCCCTAGTTGAAAATACTAAATTATGAAGCAACGCGAGCTTTGTTGCCAAAATCGCGCCCCACTTCGGACGTTTCGGGTACTTTGGTCACGCAATAAATAAAACACTGATTAAAGTATGCAATTATCTAAAAAATAAAATATTATATGAAAATGAAAGATTTATAAATAGTTATACTACTTTTTATTAGGATAATATGTTTGCTTCTCAATTTTTTTTTCGAATTTTCCTCGGAATTTCGTTGTTCTGTGTCCCTCTTAAATGTCCTAAAAATATCAACAAATTTCTCAAAAGATTCTTCGCCCAAGCTGCGAGCAAAGCTATTCATTTCTTCCAAAATGACCTGTAACAAAAATCGAAAATTAAACGTGTAGGCTTAATTCTTTCAAACTTGTCGCCTATCGTCAAATGCAATAGTGTCTACGTGGAGATCTGGCTTCGTTTCCCGAATAAAATGGGTAACATCATATGCACTTAGTTTTTCGACGATAGTCTAATGTTATGTATTTAACATTACACTAGACACTTCAATTCAATTCAATTATGCGTTTCACAAAAAAATGTTGGGCTCGACTGCTAGGATCATTCGCCCATTGCCGACTTCCGTCGAGGATTTTCGCTTCTGGTCAATGACCACCACGTACAAAGAAGAAGAATAACCAATAATTTGCTCAGCTAGCAAAAAACGATTCTGACCGATACCAAAAAAATCGGCTTCCCCCCGCTTCCACCGCGGACCAACCGGGCCCATCCGGCCTCCATACCGGCGTGAACAGGGAAAAACGACGGGGCCAACGACGATTATCACTTTAAAACATGCACTGAACACTAAAAACACTAAGTCCACACAGTGGAAACCGATATCAAACTTTTGAGGACGAATACAAGGGATTCTGTCGGGAGCGAACGGAGGTTAAACCGCCGCGTGCAATGCTCCACCACAGAATGCCACTAGACACTTCGATAATGGCACGAATCTCTAACTAACCTTAAAACAAAAAACTTGCCATAGAACAATGTTTAGAAAAGTACACTACACCACACTAGTATTTACAGACTCACCATTTTCAAAGAACTTGCAGAACATTGTGGTAAGTTTCAACGCGTTCCTTATCCAGATTCACCACAGGCCCTAAATCTAAATTAGAACTCACGAAACAAATATTTTGTGAAATATAACTATTCCTATTGCAATCCTTTCTGTAATCTGTGAACAGATGGGTTAGTTTTTATATACTCCCTAATTGAAAATACTAAATTATCAAGCAACGCGAGCTTTGTTGCCAAAATCGCGCCTCACTTCGGACGTTACCGGTATTTTGATCACGGGTTTGGGAGTGATCGCTAGATTTTTTTTTTAGAATGTAAATACTTACTCTTAACTCAGTCGTTTATTAAACGGTCGCCCTCTTTCTGACTAAAATAGCGTTTATCAAATTTGTTGTAAAACATACTATCGTGAATCGGTTCATATTAGAAAGCAAGGAATAATATGTATAAGCGTGATATTCTATATGAGTTTAGAACATTATTGGTTCGTTCAATTGTGCCACCGGTAGTATTTTCCAAAATAAAATGTTATTAGAAGCTTTGTGTTTATCCCAACCTAATTCCCGACGGGGCTGCGGTCAGCGGCACTCGCAGAAAGGACTCTTTCGCTATATAACCGGATTTGGGTTTTGTTAGCTGTACGTGACGTATCGTCGCTCTCTGCGGATTTAAGCAACAGTTAAGTTTTTATTGAAGTTACGTAAAAGGGTAAATGCGCCCGCCTAAAGGGTGACTTTCAAGCAGATTAGGGATTATTAGGAGCCGTAAAGGGATTTTAAGGACAACGGCATGAATGAGTGCAAGGATTAATGAGATAATGGATTCCGGGGAAGGATTTTTAACTTAATGTTCTTTCCATAAACCGAACTGGGTTAAAAGCTTCTTTGCGCTGAAATAGTTTGCGGTTTAGGAGTTTTATACGTCGTGGTCGAAAAATAAAAGATGGTGTTTGTAAATGTTAAAAGGTCTCGGGAAGCAGTTTTAAGGAAACGTACGCTCCATACACAGATACATTTTATGTCTAAATTATGCTATAAAAGCAATATCAAGGATCTCGGGCACTAGGACTTTGGAGCATTACAAGTTCTCAAAAAAAATTTTTAATTTTAGTCAATAGTTGGTGTAAACACGAGTATAAAACTCCAGTAATCGGTAATTGCGGCGATGCGATGTTGCCAGCTTGTTGGTACTTCTCTGTGGTCCCGGGATCATCTCGAGACTAAATGTAAATACCGCAACTGGAGAAGATCCATTTAGAATGCACCAATAAGACTTTGTGGCCTTCATTAACCAACACGGCCGCTGACAGACTAATAAGTCAATAAGTTTAGTTTCGGCATTTTTACGGTAGTATTTTCTCAAAATATTCCCAGATCCCATTAAACTTCAGACCGAAAGGAGTTAAGGTGTGGAGAGCGTTCTTAAAAAACACAGATAAATGCAGAGTTGTAGGTTGTATAAATCACAGCCCCCGATCGGCGCCCTTAACATCAATGTATAAGTAATTTTAAGTTTTTGTTCTTTAAATGCCAGTATTCACACAATAACTTAGCTATACTTTATTGTAATTTTATTCTAAAAATAACTATTAAATGCTTCAAATGTTTTTAAAAATGGTAAACTCACATCGAATATTCTAAAAGAATGATTTGATTTGATTGATACACACTCAAAATTTCTATGGTTTGTAGACATAATTGTGGTTTATGCTCCAACTACGGCTTACTTTAATTTAAAATAATAATAGTAATTAAAGTTAATTATAATAGCATTTTATGTAATCTTCTATTAACTGGCATTCAAGTTCACACTTTTACATTTTTTAAATTAATGCTTCTTCATTATTTCATTCATTTATCTTTTACTTATAGTTTTAATCGCAAACACAAATTTTCCAGCGTTGTTGTCCCAAAAATACAAAAAAAAGTTACAGACATCATCAACAAACACCGAAATTGAAAACAACAATAGCCCAACTTGACTCGGCGTTGCCAACTGTTCGAAGATATCGTTTTTTACGTATTTTTACATGAACTTATGAAGCAACTGTGAAAAAAATTAAAAAGGTCGATTGAACACGCGAATGCGCGAGATTAAAAATATCG